TTCTGGGGCTGAAAGTGAGTGGTATTTGCACACTGAGATGGTGTGTTCCAGGTCCCCTGTCATTTTAGCAGCATGCCCATTCTGACTTTATTGACAAGAACCTGTGAATCTTTCCTCCTAATTTTGGCCTCACCGCTTCTGATTTCGTAAAAGTTTATTTCCTTCTCTTCATATTTACCAACAGCAGTGCTTGCTGCAGCCAAAACTTAGGAGAACATCAGGATCTCAGTATCATCCCAAAGCTTTCTCTTCATCTAAATATGGCAAAGAAAATTCATTTCTCTTCATCTGATTGCCATCAAAGAGAACAATATGGATAAGAATGAATTTTAACTCTCAAGTGGGTAATTAAGTATTCTGCCAGGCTACAGCAGCTATTCTGTGCTGTATATTGTAGTGGTATGATTTGTGATGGATGAAATGCAAAGCAAAGGATTTAGATTGTTTGCAGCATGAAAATAAAAGGCAAACTGAGGCTAGGTCTTAATGTTAGTGAACTGGCCCAGTTTAATCAAAATCCATAAAGCTGGTTTTTCGCAGTTGAGGAAAGAGGTCTCTTGCATGAAGGACATCTGGAAAGAGAATTGGTGAGCCCTGCTTCCCTTCAGCATTCAGAAGACTGCTGTAAAACAGGAGTAATTGTATTCCCACCTCAGCTCCTCTAAGAAGCACTTGCTACTGGCCTGGTTTTTGTCCCCGTTCATTTTTGCCATACAGTTTTGAGAGTGGGGTCATTTTGCTCTTAAGCATTGTATGATTTTTTTGAATGGGATCTGATGGTTTGAGAGGTAGAGAGGAGAACCTTGTCTGAAGTAACTTAGTGCTTCAGTTTGATAATGGACTAGCATGTTGTTTAATGTACTTGATCACACTCTAAAGCTTTCTGTGAATACGGATACAGCTTACATTTATCTCAGTGCTCCATGTTTCCCATTCCTGAGCTGTCCTTCCCCCTTTTTCAGCTTAGCCTAGTCAATATGCATAGATATATTTGCTGTCATGAGCATGAGTAGGAAAGAAAGCTCCCTTGCTTTCCATTATGGTGTATGCAGCATCCTTTTGGCAGGCCCTTCTCCTTAGTTCAAGTAGTGAAATGAGACCAGAAAACAGCGTGGCTTTGTAGCACCCCTGCCGTAGGTGCCTGGTGCTCTGTGGCTCCCTTTTTGTTTGTCAAGCAAGTCCCTGGCTTTCTGTTCCCTCTGCTCACCCCAAAGGGTGCTGAGCAGAGCTGTCATGGTGGGCACGTGTGTGAGAGTGACCAGGCTGGTCCTTCCTCCCCTGGAGGACAGATTGCTCAAACCATGGCTCTCTCTGGCAGCCAGCAGAGCCTTGGTGCCAGTTCAAAGTGCACCTCTGATGAATAAATAGGGGCATTAGACAAAATCCCTGCTGGATGGGAGTAGAGGTGGTGGGGCAGAGGGAGAGAGACAGTGTTCCTGCCCCTGTAAACCATATGTTCAAGGCTCCTGCTTAGGTAAGAGCCATAAAGCCACACAGCCAAGGGTTTTGCAGACCTGAGGTGGGGGTGGGCTGCTTGTCTGGCAGCAAGCAGAGGGCTTGTCACCTTAGGGCTCAATCCTACTGGAAGGGGGATGCACAGTGCTCTGTATTCCTGGTGTGGGCACTGCCACTGGGGCTGCTCCCATACCCACTCTCTGGGCCAGCCCTGCTTGGACATGGCTCTGTGACAGCAAACTGGTGCCTCATTGTCTTGTCAAAAGCAGGACACAGCTGATGAGCACCTGGTGTTGGCACCAGAGAGTTGGAGGGTGTTGAGACAACCCCTTGGGCAGGACAGTTTAGATGAATCTAAGGCAGCTGTGACTTCGGTGTCTGCCACAGGAGCTCCTGTGAAGTCTTGGATTCATTGGGACATGTTTGTGTCAGCCCTCACTGAACCACAGCTGTGTAAACAAGGGACAGTGAAGCTGTGTTCAGATCTGAATCTGCTTACTGGCCAGAAGTATCATGGCACCTTTGCATGTCCATATACTTGTTGGGGGAGCATAGGAGAAAATGTCCTTAAAATTGGCTGTATTTCAACATGAGTCTGTTTCTTCCCATGTAACTGTGAAGGTTAGTAATTGGCACAGTGGTTTTGCTATTGGTTTAACACCTCCTGTGGGCATTATTAGGGTATTGAAAGTAGGCTAACTGGCTGTCCCTTCAAAGTCCTCTGTAGAATTGCTCTCTTTATGTAGCAAAAATGATTTCTTGAATAATGTGAGAAAAAGTTCTTCAGTATTTTCACTGGGTTGTTGAAATCTAAATATTGGTCCCAAATTATCAGTGAGTAAGGCTTTATTTACTTCCTCCCTGGTCTCTCACATGAGCAGAAGTTTTTGAGAGTTATTTAGTCACAGATCCTGTGAAATGCATAACTTACCCTGTTCCTTATCCAGAAGTATGTCATGATAGAATGACTTTATGTATCTGATTTCCTTAAAGACCTAAATCCTATAACTGGAGCAGAGTCTAGTGTCCCAGCTGTAAATTGGGAGCCCTCATGTGCTCAATCAAAAGTGTGTTAAGCATCCAGAGAAGAGACCTTGGTCTCTGTAAGAAATAAGCACACAACTGTTAAGCAGCTCACCCAGTAAGAACATGGGATTACTATGAAGCTGACAGGCCTGAAGTGAGGGTTAGCCCTGCTTCTGTTTCCTGTAACTGTACCACTTTTATCACCAAAGGAGGAACAAAATTATATGAAAAAGCAAGAGAAGCCAGGGGAGGAACAAATGTCTGAAAAATGTTTCACTTGGGTGGATTGAGTTGATGTTCTAAAATTTCTTGAAGGTGCAGATGCGTTGAGGAGGCTGTGAAAGAAAGGAGGGGGTCTCCTACTCCTCCCTTTTTCCTTCCTTCAAAGTGAATTTCAGTTTCTTTAGTGAGAAGCAAGAGTATCTCACAGATCTTCAAAGTATCCACTCTGACGTCAGGGTGTGCTGGTTGGGCTGTGAATGTATGATTCAGATTTAAGTGACTGTGTCCAAATCACGTGGCTTCTTCAGCTTCCTCTTCTATTTCCTGAGACATAGGAGCTTGGGTAAGGTTGTAGAGGAGAGTTGTTCTGGTAGATATAACTGCTTACAATGCATTAGAGGTATTCTTTTGCTTGTGGACAAGTGGCTGAGTATCAGAAAGTGGTTATTTACTTGCCTTGTTAAGCTGACTTAATAATGCTAGGAAGAATTTTCCTATTAGTTGCATTTATAACTTCCTGAAATACTGATTTTAAAGCTCTTCTGCAGTACTCAGGGCAGTGCACCTTCTCCCTCTGGTGTCCAGAAAGAAGAGCTGTTCCTTTCCTTTCTGTACTCTTTCACTGCTTTGCCTGCTTTTCTGCATAGCAGTAGGTGAAAAGAGGCCAAGCATTTCTAACCCCCACATTTATTCTCCATGTATTTTCCCATCCAAGTAGCTTTGCTTTTAATCACAAGACAACATAAGGAAGAACCCACAAGTGGCTCTCCTAAGGAGACAGGTCTTTCTCTTGCTATGCAAACCTCTTCATTGGCAAAGAGAAGCACTGCTAATAAAATTCATCTGGTTAATAAACAGTTATAAGACAGCATGTAGCTCCTGATTAGTGGCTTATGTAAAGCTGAGGCTCCAGGTTACTAAGAAACTTCTGCTCCTTGCTGATGCTCACGGGAGTGTTGTGTAAGAGCTGAGCTCTCTGAGCTTTCTGACAGGCAGCCAGTGTGTGAGGTGAAACTGTGTCTGGCCCTTGCCAAACAAACACTGAGCGCTGAGAAACCTCCTTTGTGGAAGGTAAGGTGTACTGATGGGAGGGGGGAAATAGAGGCAGCAAGTGAATGCTGTGGTAAAGAAAAATTAAGTTTCTTTAGTGCTGCATTTTGTTGCTTTCTGTGCCTGCAGCAGTCCCAGTGACTTCAACTGAACAGATTGTCATGCCTGGGTTAGGGCAGGATAAATCTGCTGTTGGGAGAAGATGGAGCTACATGGTGTGCTTGAGCCTCCCTGCTAAAATCTGCTGAATCCTCTTCAGACTTTCAGTTATTTGCAGTGTGGTGTTCACTCTTTTCTTCCCCTCTGCTCTGCTTGTCCCCACAGCCTTGAGTAGTGCTTGGCTGTGTCCTCCTGAGTGCTCTCTTGGAAAGCGGCGATGATCACGTTCATGAACAATTCGGACAGCGAGGAGGAGCCCTGCAATGAGAGAACATCCCTGATGTCTGCAGAGAGCCCTCCAGTACCCTCCTACCAGGATGGCCTGCAAGCCTCGGAAGCAGGGGAAGCACAGGCACACAGGGTAGGTGTGTGTCCCTCATGGGGAGCAAGGCTTTGGGGTGTGGTGGCAGAAGTAGTCCTGCTACCCCTCAGTCCCACGTACCAGACTGGATTCTAGGATTGGCTTTGGTTAGTGTTGTTTTCCTGGTGTCACTCTCAGTCAGCAGCAGAACTGCCTGTTGCCACTTCCTCCACTCTGACTTTTTCCCCATTTTTATCTCCATGTATACTCCTCCCTTTTCCTTCCTTTTGGTAAAGATAGAGGCTTTTAGTCAGGGCCTTATGCTTTTAGTCAGGACTGTTACAGGATATCCTTTTTAGCCGTCTTGTTTTGCCAGATACCCTTTGTCTGCTCTGGTCAGATGCAGCTAATGTTAGAACAGAATCTAGTCCAGCTGCCAGCAAAGCAGCAGGATAAAGCAAGCAGGTTTTTTGGGAGAGGAGGAACATGTCAAGCGTATGTCAACTCAGATGAAATTTTTTCTATCTAGTTCTGGGCATCTTGCCCTTCATGTGCCTATCTATATATTTGCATTTGAAGAGGTCCTTAGATACTCATGGAATTGGTTTAAAAACTCTATTTGCAGCATGTTTGCAATGGAATTTAATGGAATTTCTAATTGTATTGTTCAGTTGGTACCTTTCTATTAGAACTCACCTGCTATGCTGTGGTGACTTACAGCAGCCTCATGAGGTATGAAGAAGAAAAGAAGCGTCTTACACATTTGCTAATATTTATTTTCAGAAGAGGCGAGCAGGCAACAGCCGCGGCCCGAACAATATCGCTGGTGGAGAAGTGTCCGGCTCGAGTATTCCAGTGAGGGAAAGCGCCCTGGAAAATGAAGAGGAGGAACTGACTCTGAAATATGGAGCAAAGCATGTAATCATGCTCTTTGTGCCTGTCACCCTTTGTATGATTGTTGTCGTCGCCACCATAAAGTCAGTGCGCTTCTATACGGAGAAAAACGGGCAGCTGTAAGTGGGGTCTGCAAACAGCCTGAGTATGTGGGACCCCCTGCTCCACACACACGCTCTGTGCATGCAGAGTGCTTCCTTAGCAGGCTGGGAGAACCTTTACACTGGTAAAGGTGGCTGTAGAGACATACAGAGAGCTTACTAAAGTAGGCTATGTTCACCTGTGAAAGTTTTTCCCATACCTGCATTGCACTGGTCTGTTAGCACTGTCATTTAGGGTTCCCTGAGTGAGGCCTGTGAGCAGCATAATAACAAAGCTGCTTCATTCTGCAGCATAAAAGGCCCAGGCTGAACTCCTAGGCTGTTCACTCACTAGCTGGCAGCAATCAGGGAATAGCATGTTCATTTGGATGAGTGTCTCATTTCCTGGTGATATTTCTGGTTCCTAAAGACTCATGGTGTGGATTCCTAATTCCATCCAGCTCCTGCTGACAGTGCCTGGCTCCTGGGGCCTGGCTTCTGGGGCTCTAACTGTGCTTCACATATGGGGTGGAGAAAGGGGGACTGTGGTCCCTTGAACTGAATCAAAGGAAACAAAATTGAGGGAAGGGCTGTAGGGTGGCAAGAAGGGATAAGAGTCCAAGACTCTCCTACCAAGTGTGGAAAGAAAGGGTGTCCCCCATTTCAGAACAGCACCTGGGAAGTATCCTTGTAATTATCACGGAGAGATTCCAGAACATGCAATAAAAATTCATGGCCTGCAGAGCACTTACTAAAATAAAGTGATTTATACTCTAGGTCTTTTTGCTTAGAGCTCTGCCAGCCACAGCTGCTCTGTAAGAATGTGCTTTTGATAGAGACCACTAATCTTTAGTTGATAATTAACTTGAGCCTAGCCCCTTCAGAGGCTACATCTCATGTTTGCTGTCCTTGGCAGTCCTAGCTCCTTTTCTTTCCCACACACAGAGAGGTCTGGTTTTATCTGGGACACATGGTTAGATAATATCTATGCTTTATATGGCTTTTGCTTTATCCTGCAGAATCTACACCCCTTTCAGTGAGGACACCCCTTCTGTGGGCCAGCGTCTCTTGAACTCGGTGTTGAACACCATCGTAATGATCAGTGTCATCATTGTAATGACCGTGTTCCTAGTGCTGCTCTATAAATATCGCTGCTACAAGGTAAAGCATTCATGCCAGAGCCTTTTCCACCTCTGTGCTGTGAGCCTGGGATCAAGTGGGCCTTGCATGGCAGTGAGAAACACAGGCACTGCACTGGCTTATCCTCATCTTGGGAACAGCAGGAATCATACTGTGCAGAAGTCTTTGTCTGTAGTGATGGAGCTGTGGCTCTGAATAGGCTTTGCCATTATTTTGTCACTAATGGCAGGCCCTTAAAAACAAGGACTGCTACTTTGTGTTAGTCAGGTCTGAGTTTTCAGCATCTGATCCAAATGTTTTGCCATTTGTACTTATGGACTAAGTTGTACCATTAATGGTGAATGCCTTCTATTAAGACATTTCAGATGAGCTTTGTGGGAACTGGTATTATTCCTGCCTGTGGAAGCTCTGGTAGAAGACCACAAGGCTTGAAGAGAAAGGCACATTCAGGTTCTAAGGTGCTCAGGGAGTTCTTATATGTGCATTTGAGCTCTGTCCATTCCTGCTTTTTAATCTTGTCCCAAAGACAGAGTTTATTTTACAGCCTTGGGCAAACCCCTCCTCCTTCCTAGCAAACAAAGAATGTGCTCACCTGTATGAGCTAGCAGCCAGTATGGATACCCATGAAAATGCTCAGGCCAAAAAAACCCAAACTAACTAAAACCCTAAGAGACAGAATACAAAATGAAAGTGGGAGAACTGAGGGGAAGTGGCTGTCCTTCCTCCTTCACTGACCTGATAGGGAAGGCAGGATCTTTGGACCCTGGAAGAAGAGTGCAGAAGGAGACTATTGGGCTGCAATTCTGTGACCTGTGCAGGGGTTACAGCCCCTACCATCACTTTTTCTTCTTGTCCTTTATAGTTCATCCATGGCTGGCTGATCCTATCCTCCTTGATGCTGCTCTTCCTCTTTACCTACATATACCTCGGGTAAGTGGGAATGGTGCAAGTAACCTGGCAGCTCGGGGCTCCTTCACCTCTTTGCTGAGAATTCCCACTTTGAATAAGAAAAGGAATGTCTTCCCTTCTCCAAATGGACATTTAAGTGTTGTTAGAAGAAGATACTTTTCTTTTTTAAAAAGTGGAAAAGAAGATCTTTAATAGTCAAAGCTCAATTTTATAAAAATTGTTGGGAAGTGATAATGGTGAGCATGAAATGAACAGGCTAAATCTTATGGTACAGAGGCCCTGGATTGAGAAGCATGTGGAAAGGCACTTTATGTGCTGAGTTACTTCTCTGATTTTTTTTTTTTCCTTAGACAACATTGTTTCAAGCTCATTCCTTTAGCTCCCAGCTCAGGTGAAAGGAAACTTCTAACTTGTGTGTGACATTTGTTAAGACATTTTCATTTTTAACTGTGAGCATATTGTACCTGGTGGGATGACACTGACAGGATTTCTTTGCTGTAGACAGTCATGTAGCCACAGGCCTCTGCTCATTTAAGACCTGAAATCCTGCCTGCTCAAATCTTTGGAACTGCTGTTGAACTGAGGACTAAGGCAGTGTGGTGCGGATCTGTAAAAGAGCACATCCATCTTGTGCAGGAGGAACAGAGCACAGAGCAGCAAGTAGCCAAAGGGCAGGTTCCCCTTTTATGATGAGAATTGCTCTTTTCTGCTTCCTTCTGGTGTAGTTGGGGGCTTTCTTGTTTAACTACAGCCAGTGGGATGCTTTGCATGTCACTTGCTTTCACTGCTTTGATAAATTTTCTTGTGGTATTCCAGTGAAGTACTGAAGACTTACAACGTGGCCATGGATTATCCCACTCTGTTCATAGTCATCTGGAATTTTGGAGCTGTTGGAATGATTTGCATCCACTGGAAAGGTCCCTTACAGCTCCAGCAAGCTTATCTCATTATGATCAGTGCTCTAATGGCTTTGGTGTTCATTAAATATCTACCTGAGTGGTCAGCATGGGTGATTCTAGGTGCAATCTCCATCTATGGTAAGTCTGGGTTGTGGCTCTACAAGGTGTGGTTCCTGGAGAGGTTACTCTGAGGCAATCTCAGGACTCTGTATGTCCTTCAAAAAAAACAACTTTATGGTGCTAAAAGCTTTAGAAAGTGCCAGATGAGCAATTAATTTGACTCCCTGCCTTGTCTCTTGCTAATTGTGTAGGTAGTGTACCTCAACCAGGTCTTTCAAAGTGGATCACCAAGTCAGGGAAGGACTGAATCTCACCTAACTACATGGTAGGGGTGGTTGGATTTTTATCAGTAGCAAACCTGACAGTCTTGCAGGTTTTGTTTATTGTTATCAAGAGATCATGGATTTTGGTATAAATTTCAAGTGAACCTGCAGAACAAGAGGGAAGAGATCTGATGGAGGAGAGAGGGTAGGCAAAGAGGTACTGGACTAAAGGCCTTCATTCATGTGAAACACAGAGCCAGCCTATGTAATGATGGATTGTGGAATGTGAACAAAGCACCCCCACTCCTCCTTTAATTAAATTTAACATCTCAGTGAAATGCTGCCGTCTACTTTCTAAGAACTCATGTGGTATTCTCCAGGGGCTTTTTATAGGATTAGCACAGTGAAAACTCTTATTATTACATTAAGGCTTGGAGATGATATTTTTAGTGAGCAACACTTTAAGGGACTAGAACAGCTAGAGTTATGCAAAGTGGTGAAAAGTGTCATTCAGGAAATCATCTGGTTTATATGGATAATGTAAATTTGAGGGGAGAATATTTTCTTAAAGAAAAAGAATGTAAAATATGTATGGCAATTCAAGATGAGATTGGTCCTTTTCTTTCTGCAGATCTGATGGCTGTTCTCTGTCCCAAGGGGCCACTGAGAATGTTGGTAGAAACTGCACAGGAGAGAAATGAGCCCATTTTTCCTGCATTAATATATTCCTGTGAGTAAGATTACAATGTTAACGTTTTTAGCCAGATGAAACTATTAACCTATTTCTGTGTCAAAGCAAATAACACTGTCTTAGCTACTTTCTTGCCTTAAGAATGGTGCACAGTTATGTTCTGGAACAGACCATTTGTAGAAGGCCTTGGTTATCAGTTACAATGTTGCTAACTCTGATTAGCCAAAGGGAGCCCACATTTGTCTTGTGAAGCTGAATTGCTGAGAAACAGATTTATCCTTTCATGAATATAGTGCATAATATGCCTTTTTTCTGCACACAAAATGCTCTGTGAGTTGAGCAGCAGAGTTTGCCAAGTTTTGTGATGAGGTGGTGCTCACTTAATACATTTATTTATTATGTGTATGCTTTACAGACACACTTTAAACATATGGTGAGGTTCCATGCCTCCTGCAGCCCCTTCTTACCCTCTGTACTGTACAGATGGCAGTGCTTAGAATATATTTGCTTTATCTTTCATTGTTTGGCTCCTCACTTTGTAAAGGGCTCCATTCAAGTACTGCTCTGCAAACAGAAACAGTCATCTCCTCCCTGGCTTTCTTGGGCTGTTTAACTACCACGGTGTCTGGTGCCCTTGTCCAAAGGTATTGACGTGCTTAAGATAAGATTATTGGAAGGCAGGAGACTTAACACTCATGGGACCTGAACTCAAGTGCTTCATGGACCTCACTGACTCTTTCATTACATCACTTGGAAGATGAAGGGTTATTCCCAAATGTTTGGTGCTAAGCTGAGGATGCCTACAACCTGACTGATTTTTTTTTTTTTTTTTCTTCAAGCATTTAATGTTACATAAATGCTTTTATGTGTTAAGCAGAGTCTCAGTTCTCCTCAGGTGCCTTCCCTTTTACAGGAGATTCTGTTACACTGACCT